AATTTTCTCAAGTGACCAATACATAACTCATAGTTTTAAAGATCACATTTCATAAATAACAAACTCATTAAAATATTTCAAAAATCAGGTGGTAAATAAATTTATTAAATATTAAAATATAATATAATATACATCAATTATTTATACTCCCTCACCTACCACATCCTATCACCCCACTACACCACATTCCCTCTACCTCTCCACCGGAAACGGCCATCAGCTTCGGCGATCACTCCGGCAACTGTTCCGGTGATCACTTCGACGACTATTCCGACGGCTTAAAAATTTTCAGAAAATTAAAAATTGAAAACCACACCCCCACTCCCATAGATCCACCTACCACCACCCCATCCTTGCCTTCACCTCCTACAAAATTACCGGAAAAAAAAAAAAAATTTGTGTTCAGTGTGACAATCTGTGACTAATTGTGACCAAATTTGTATTCAATGTGACTAATTGTGATTAAATTTGTGTTCAGCATGACTGTTTGTAACGAATTGAATCTTAATTGTGACTGTATATGATCAAGTCACAATCGATCACAATTAATACAAAATTGGTTACAACCAATCACAGTACACACATATTTGGTCACAAATGATCACCACAATTCACCACCAGTCATCACCACCATCACCTCAAATGCACCACCACTACCTCCTCCAACTCAAATTCATGGCAATGAATTCTGAACTAATGTTTAACTAAAATTCTTCTCTGCACCACCACTACCACCTTCAACTAAAATCCACGAGCATATATATTACCTTCCCCTCAAATCCACAACAATAATCATCACTTCCACCAACACCTTCAACAAACACCAACCATCGCACCATAACCACCACCACCACCAAATGTAGACCAACACAACTGGAGATTCACACCATCCACTGATCCAATTAGTGAGTCAAGGACAAAGTTCATGTGACCAAGGTTCATCTTTACAAGTATTTTGCAGCCAGATTGTTTAAAGAAAGAGTTTAGCAGAAGAAATAAAAAAATTGTTGCAGTGTTTTCAAAATCTAAGCTTCAACAGGCTCACGTGAATTTTCTCAAATCGACGGCTCTGCTGCTTTCAGCCACCACATTCTCTCTCTCACATCCACTAGCTACGGATTCCTCACACTCGACCCGTCGTCGTCTGACCACCATCCTCCCACTACCACTGTTCCTCCTACACCAACCCCACCACCGCATCTGCCTCGCTTCACCCTTGGTTCTCTCTTCCCCAGTCCACTCTCCAAACCCCATTCTCTCAAGTCCCACTCATTTGAAACCATCAACTACTGGGACTTCATGACCGATCTCGACTTCGCATAGTACTGCTGAAAAAGGAGTAGATCGGCGTAGCGAAACGGATCGGTGAGGCGATTCTGCTGCGCTGCGATGGGTAAAGAGAGGGATGCCAACTGCCGTGAAAAAGGAGAGAGAGAGAGAGAGAGAGAGAGAGAGCTTTGCCGAACGGTAGAAAGAGATGGATGACGGCTGCCGTGATAAAGAGAGAGAAATGGCTATAGAGATGTAGAGAGAGAGAGAGATGAGAGGGGAAATTAATTATGGATTGTGATGAATTTTGGTATTATTAATAATATTAAATATTTGAATTAATATCTGATTTTTG